TGAGAATGTTCAGTACATCCTTTGATACCTGGCTAGCAGATTTTTTTTTCAGGTTTTTATTGTTCTCCAGATTTTCAAACTGACTTGTCTCCTTTATTAAATTAGGGTAAATGAAGAGATATTAAAATTAAAAGCATATATAACTTGCATGATTCTTTTAGACACAAAGATTTTAAATTCAAATTTATCCAGATTACTTGTATTCTTAATTATTTTTTCTTCTGGAAACTTCTTTGGAGCTAATGACTCTTTGTTGTAGAAGCAAAATAAATACTAATTCCACCTTGTATTAATAAGACTAATCGTTCTTAAAACTTGAGCTGCATTTTTTAATCTTGCATTGTGGGCCTTCACGCAGCAAAAATAAAGTCTTCATTTATAATTGGCTTGTCTGTATACTGAGTGTTTGACAAGTTGTTCTTAAAACCTGAGCCGCATTTTTTAATCTTGTGTTGTGGGCCTTCACGTAGCAAAAATAGTCTTCATTTATAATTGGCTTGTCTATATATACTGAATGTTTGACACAAAAATACCACTGTAAAGGAAAACCCATTTTTAAAAAAGTGATTTGATTTCTTATTTTTTTCCTTTACGCTGTACTAGTGAGTAGATGTTTTTCCCCTAAGCAGCACAAAGATGCCATTTTGAGAAGTTAAATTACTTTCTAAATGTTGCTGTGAAGGAGGAGAGAAGGAAAAGAGATCAAGTTACACATTCTTTGTTCCAGAGCCTACCACTGCACTTCAAGTTTACAGCCGCACTGGTAAGGCTAGGATCGCTTTTGCAGCATTATCTTCAACCCTGCCCCCACTTAGGGAGCAACAGACTTAGATATTTTCTCTGACAGGGCTCCAAAAGAGAGCCATTTTAACTTAAATATTTGTAAAAGTCACTATTTTTTCTATTAAAGGCTTTACTTTTATATAGTTTAGCTTCCAAGTAAGCCTAAAGATTATTTCTTTGTATATTCAGAGGTATTTTAAAAAAAGATACTTTCTTTGAAAGGCCTACAAGTTATATTTTTATATTGCAGTTAAATGTAAATTTAAATCATATTAATATTGAGTTAAATTTAGAGAGTATTTTAAATTGTATTTTGAGGGGAAAAATAGCTTTCTTGGCACAAAATGGCATGAATTGGACTGTGTGTTTTTGAAATATGGTGGTAAAAAAATCCCCAAAGCAGTTACAATATTTCTTTTGTTCTATATCCTTGCTGCTCTTAGATAAATGAAGACTTTAAAAAGATTGTTCACATAAAAACTGTCATAAAAATCCCAGTGCCATATACTAAATGTTAATTTGACTTATGTTGTAATTTTTCCCAGTTTAGTTTTAGTAAGAATATAAACTTTTTTTTTAAACCTTCAAGGAATCATTAAAAAAAATGGTTATTAAAATTTGAATGTGCATGTTTCCCCTGCTATCTGAAGATAGAGGGTTCCTATGAGACCTTTCCTGGTAAAAACCAAAATGGCATGAAGTGAAGCAGCTACCATTAATTTATATGGGAAATTTTTTGAGCATTCCCAGACCCCAAAAATAACTTCTCTTAGGTTTTTCTGGTACCTTAGGACACATCTTGCTAATGAATGCACAAAATAAATCGAGATAAAGCACAAGTCTACCCACACTGTTCCAAACCCCAGGCACCTTGCTGCTGAGATGTTGAGTGCAGTTCCTGGGGAAGGAGCTTGGTGGCGCCACTCTAGCTGCTGCACGCGCACTCTTTCTGTAATGGCTTGCTGCGAAACAAACACTGAATGCTGTGTTTGCTTTTTGCCTTTTTCATAAAAGCGAAAATCCTCTCTGGATGTCTTTCAGTTAGTGAAAATAGGTACTCATGTAGGTCTTTCAAAAAAGGGAAGTGGCCTAGTTTGATCTTCAAAAAATGGGGGATCCTTATATTTCATAAATACGTTTATATGTAACTAGTCCCATTTCTGAGGGTTTAAGAAACTTAAGCATTATTTGTAAACTACTTATACCTCTGCTAAACATTATCAGCCCAATAAAAAGTATTGCATTTCCCCCCTCATTTCTAGGTCATTTTAAGTATTAGTAATGTTCATTGATTTGGTTAATACTCTTCTGAAAAAGTCACTATCATCAGTAGTCAGATTATATTATAGAAGTAGGTAGTCACATTTGTATCAGTCTTTTTAGTATTTTGAGAGTAGGTGTTGTATTTTCTAAACAGACTGTTGTCTCAACACCCTTTTTTTTTCTAAAAGAGAAAAGATAACCTGTGATAAAAATTTGTGATTAGACATTGGGACTTGTTCTGTTTTGTCCTGTTCATACAGGTTTTATTCTTTCTAGTGCATGATTTAGTTCTAATTTCTTTTTCTTTTCTTTCTTTTTTTTTGCTCACTAATAATGATACTGGATTTAGTTTTCTATGTTGTGCCCCTAATTCTGTAGTCTTATCTCTGCTTCTCTGTTAATCACTCCTTCTCCCTCTTGTCTGATAAGTCCGAGACTTGTTGATAGGCAGAGCCTGTCTCTTACCTTCTCCGTGAAGCTTTAATTTCAGCTGGGCTCCTGGGCATTTCTTCCTTTTCTCTGCTTTGGTAGGGCTTCTAATGGCAGTTTGTACTGTTCATTTTCTTTCTATTTGTTTCCTGTCTCTAATCTGATTTAAAATAATTATACTAGCCACCATTTGTGTACATACAGTATGCCAAATACTGTGCCGTTTTGGGGGAGGATCTTTAAAATAACCTGGTAAAGTAGGTATTAGCTTACAAGGAAAGTGAAAGCCAGCCACACTGTGCTGGAAGTTTGGTTACATCACTTTCTGTCTGGCTCCTATTACATCATATATATGGAGTACCTTAAATGTATTAGATTTTTTTTTTTAAAGATTTTATTTATTTATTTGACAGAAAGATAGCGAGAGCAGGAACACAAGCAGGGAGAGTGGGAGAGGGAGAAGCAGGCTTCCTGCCAAGCAGGGAGCCCGATGTGGGACTCGATCCCAGGACCCTGGGATCATGACCTGAGCCGAAGGCAGACGCTTAATGACTGAGCCACCCAGGCATCCTTAGATTTTTTTTTTAATTTTTAATTTTTTTTACTTTTTTATTGTTATGTTAATCACCGTACATCATTAGTTTTTGATGTAGTGTTCCATGATTCATTGTTTGTGCATAACACCCAGTGCTCCATGCAGAACGTGTCCACTTTAATACCCATCACCAGGCTAACCCATCCTCCCACCCTAGATTTTTTTTTTAAGATTTTATTTATTTATTTGACAGAGCGAGAGAGCACAAGCAGGGGGAGCAGCAGAGGGAGAGGGAGAAGCAGGCTCCCTGCTGAGCAGGAAGTCCAACGCAGGGCTCGACCCCAGGACCCCGAGATCATGACCCGAGCAAAGGCAGATGTGTGGCTCAGTTGCTCCTAAATGTATTAGATTTTAAATAAATATGGGATGATAAGATGACTCCTGTTATGGTTCATTTGTCCTTTTTTTTTTTTCCTTAAGATTTTTTAATTTATTTGACAGAGAGAGACACAGCAAGAGAGGGAACACAAGCAGGGAGAGTGGGAGGGGAGAAACAGGCTTCCCGCTGAGCAGGGAGCCTGATGTGGGGCTTGATCCCAGGACCCTGGGACCATGACCTGAGCCGAAGGCAGATGCTTAACGACTGAGTCACCCAGGTGCCCCTGTTCACTTGTCCTTTTAAAGACAGTTTTTGGAAGGAGCAAGAAAAGCCGAGTTTGTGAGGATTTGTGAATTTTTCATTCTTCAAGTCACATGATACTTTCAGGACCATATGGGCCTTACTTTTGAACTTCATGTGTCTAAGTGTGGACCTTGTTCCAAAAAGATTGTCATGTGCTTCCCTATATTACTAACAAATTTATGACTGAATGAAACAGGGAAGATGTTTAAAAGTGACTGGTGAGATATGTATACTGCTGTAGGATGTTACTTGAACCATTAAGTACATATGTATATATAAATTAGATGCAGGTAAACCTTGGAGAAAATAGGAAAACGGAGATAAATCTCATGAGAGATCTTTTTTTTTTAAGAAAAAATTTAAAAAGATATTTATTTATTTATTTGACAGAGAGAGAGAGCGAGAGAGGGAACACAAGCAGGGGGAGTGGGAGAGGGAGAAGCAGGCTTCCCACTGAGCAGGGAGCCCGATGCCGGGCTCGATCCCAAGACCCTGGGATCATGTCCCGAGCCAAAGGCAGATGCTTAACGACTGGGCCACCCAGGCACCCCTTGAGAGATCTTTAATGTATTTATATTTATATATATTTATTGTATTTGAACAGTTTGTACATTTGTTATTTATTATTTTGACATAAAATCATTAATTGCTAGTGAGATTTGAGACATTTTGGACACATTTTCTTAAGCATATTTTAAAAGTTTTTGGGGGCGCCTGGGTGGCTCAGATGGTTCAGCGTCTGCCTTCAGCTCAGGTCATGATCCCAGGGTCCTGGGATCGAGCCCCACATCGGGCTTCTGGCTCAGCGAGGAGCCTGCTTCTCCCTCTGCCTCTGCCTCTCTCCCTGCTCATGCTTTCTCTCTCTCTCTCTGTATCTCTGTGTCTCAAATGAATAAATAAAATCTTAAAAAAAAAAAAGTTTTAAAATTTATTCCTTATATTAGGTGCCATTTTTTTACTGGAAGACTATGACCAGTTTTAGTGCTTTGCTGCTTTTGTACTTTCCTAACCCATGTTATTCTTTTTTTTTTTTTTTTTTTTAAGATTTTATTTATTTATTTGACAGACAGAAATAGTGAAAGAGGGAACACAAGCAGGGGGAGTGGGAGAGGGAGAAACAGGCTTCCGGCCGAGCAGGGAGCCCAGTGTGGGGCTCAATCCCAGGACCCTGGGATCATGACCTGAGCTGAAGGCAGATGCTTAACCGACTGAGCCACCCAGGTGCCCCCTAACCCATGTTATTCTTATGTTTTTTCAAAAGCTAAGTAATTGGCCCATTTATCCTAATTTCCATATACTTAAAAAATTAACATTATGGGTTTTTTTACATGGTTTCACTACAAGTTGCATTTTAACCATTCTTTCCACATTATTTGATAAATGTTACTGGTTTTGTCTGTTTTTAATTTTTATAAGTATATTATGTGTGTTATATTTAAATGTTCTTTGAGCCTTGGACTTAAATGCTGATAAATGTTTTGCTTTTCAAAATACTGAAGTTCAGTATTTATGTGTGTTTGTCTTGTAGGGGAGTGAGTGGCTTTGAAGACATCAGAATTGAATTTAAAGAAACTTACTCTAGGATATATAAAATATAAATAGAATCAGGTATTTGTAGAGATTTAATGTAATCCTTCAGACTGTATGTTTTTAAAGGAGCCACTTCACAGGAACAAGAGAAGTTTGTCTTTTTACTTTCCTGATTATATTGAGATTCTGCCCAATTTTTACTTAGACTTGCACAACTTTATGAAAGCTATCATAGCACCCCATTTTAAGTTTCCTTGGTGGCACTTACCATGACTGTAATTAAATTGTTATTTGTATGGACATTTCTTTAAGATCTGTTTCCCTTCCTAGAAACTGTGAGCTCCAAGTGAGTAGGGAACCGTACTTAGTTCTGTGTTACAGGGCCTAGCACTCGGCCTTGCCGAGCACATATGCTCAGTAATTTCTTGGTGACAGCAGCCTGTGCTCTTTTTGTGCTCCTCTTTAATTAATGAAAAGATTTGTTTTTTTGTAAAATGGTCAGTGTTTTTAGAGGCCCTAGAAAAGAAACATGAACCAAAAAGAAGAGCTGACTTCAATTTTACTTGTCTTGAAAACAACTATGACTCTTTCAGTGACTGGAAGATCAGTGGACCTAAGGAATTTAAGGAGTTGAAATGAAGGTTTAGCTGTTTTTTCAAAGGATATCATCCTTCAATACTTTCACTTTGCATTTTTCTCATTGTGATTTATTTAAGGTGGTTGTAATTCTTGATTGATGATACCTGTCAAAAGAGCAAGCCTTAACCAACCATTTCGTCTGGATTCTAAGGGCAGAGAAACAAAAACTGGGCACTTCGTGAACTATTGCAAATCGTCTGTAAAATGAGATAATAAAATCTACTTTACAAGGTAATTTTGGCTTTAATGAAATACCAAAGTGTGAAAATGCTTAGTAATGTGCCTGGCCCACACTGTAGGTGCTCTATAAATGCTAATTGTCGTACTTCTGTACATAGATGAAACGTCTCAAGAACAAGTGTAAATTTAAAGGTGAATTTCATTCCAACCCCAAACTAGTATCAAAATGCAAATATGGTGTTATATTACTTTAAAAAAGAGAAATGTTTAATGGCACTTGGTGATGGTGGTAAGTCATTTAACCTCACTTTGAATCTCTGAATGAGTATTTTAAAGAAAGACTAGTGGGGGCACTTCGGTGGTTCAGTCGGTTAAATGTCTGCCTTCAGCTCAGGTCATGGTCCCAGGGTCCTGGGATCGAGCCCCACGTCGGGCTCCCTGCTCAGCGGAGAGCCTGCTTCTTCCTCTTCCTCTGCCCTTGACCATCCCCCCGCTAGTGCTCTCTCTCACACTCACTCTCAAATAAATAAATAAAATCTTAAAAAAAAAAAGGACAGACTTGTGATACCCCTTCTTGGAAGGAAGAATGACCTAAAATCAAGAAAAAAGTGAAAGAAAAATGAATAAGCAGACCCATTATGATCCCTTAACCTAGAGGTTGTAAACCAATGGCATGTCAGCTCGATTTGGCCTGCAGGCATTTTATTTTTGGTTTATACTGTATTTTTTCTAATTAGTTGCACACAATTAAAAATTGGGAGATTATGCAAAAGAAAATCCAGATTTTTTACTTATCTGAAAAACTGGATAATAGGTGGCACAGGTCTTTTGTTCTCCATTTAACAGCAGTCGGACGAGCTAAATAGAGGGTGCTCTGATCTCTGGCACTCCCTGGTGTCTCCCCAGTATTAAACTGACTGCTGATATCTCTGTCAAAAGGGAGAAACCTAAGATAGAGCTGCTTGTGTTTTAGGAAAAAACGTATAATTCTTTGTGAAAATAAAGAACATTTTTACATGTGTCTGTCAAAAGACCACAGTTTAGGACTTAATTTATAGTAAGAACTATGATTAACGCAATATGTGAAAAAGATGTGTAATGAAAAACTTTACTACAAAAGAGCTCGAACATCAGCAGGAATTTTTAAAAAATGAGAATGAGGGGCGCCTGGGTGGCTCAGTCGTTAAGCATCTGCCTTCAGCTCAGGTCATGATCGCAGGGTCCTGGGATCGAGCCCCACATCGGGCTCCCTGCTCGGCGGGAAGCCTGCTTCTCCCTCTCCCACTCCCCCTGCTTGTGTTCCCTCTCAGGCTGTGTCTCTCTCTGTCAAATAAATAAATAAAATCTTTAAAAAAAAATTAAAAAATAGAAAATGAGAATGAAATAAAGTTAGTGATGCTGCTGTGAGAAAAAAGTCACGCATATATATGAAAAGAAATTTCCTGTTCGTAAAATCTCTTAACATATGTTGAAGTTAAGAGTGTGTAGAGAACAAAGAAATTAATATGTTTTGAACAGCAGTAATTCATAAACGAGTCTGTATGAAAATATTGTTGCTTAACAATTAAAAATATGACCAAGAGGGGCACCTGGGTGGCTTAGTTGGTTAAGCATCTGACTCTTGATTCTGATCGAGCCCTGCATCGGGCTCTGCGCTGGGCATGGAGCCTGCCTAAGCTTTTCCCTCTCCCTCTCCCCCCTCCCCAGTATGACCAGGAAATTTATAGGGCAGCTTGTACAAAAATGCCAAAATTGTTTTTGTTGAGGTCTATATAAGCACAGAGATAAATATCGCCACATTAGCTCTATTTGTTTGTGGTGTCTAGGAGAATTTTCACTGTTTCTCCTCTCTCTTCTTTAGTCCTTGCCTCCTCATTGGTTTATTCCCATCAGCGAACAATCTGAAGTAGAGACTTCAGTAACAAAGTCATCTTTCACTCTCACTGCGTAGCCACATGCTTCAGAGAGTTAGCTGTCTACTTGCAGTACCTCCTCTCCCTCACCTTCCCTTAACTCGCTCCAATCACTATTCTAACTGCCCACCACCATTCATGTTTGAAAACCCATTCTTGTTGGTGTCGTTGATGGACTTTATGCTGCGGGGTTTTCTGCCCTCCTCTTCAACGTCTCAATACTCCTCTGAATGAAAGTCCTACCTGCTGTGATAGGACTCTACTGCCTTCCACATCTTTTGGCCTAAGTCCCAAGTGGTGGCTGAGGAACGTGCTAAATTGGCGCTGAGGATGGACTCTTGCTGGTTTAAGCCCTTAAGCCCTGTGTAAATTCATTATTATAACAGGTTTTATATCTTATAATGCTGCCTTTGGGGCTAATTTATGAAAGGACAAAAGGATTTGGAAAGTAAAAATAATGATGTTAAAAAGTCTGAACTATATTAGGAGTACTTTTTTTTTTTTTTAAGATTTTATTTATTTATTTGAGAGAGAGAGAATGAGAGACAGAGAGCACGAGAGGGAAGAGGGTCAGAGGGAGACCCCCGCTGAGCAGGGAGCCTGATGTGGGACTCGATCCCGGGACTCCAGGATCATGACCTGAGCCGAAGGCAGTCGCTTAACCAACTGAGCCACCCAGGCGCCCATATTAGGAGTACTTCTTGACATACTAAGAATACTACTGCAGATACAAACGCTTGAATGACCTGTGATGTGAAGGACAGGGAGAAGAACTAGGGATTTGACAGGAGATGCCCTGTTTAAATAAGTAGGGCTTGTTTTCTTTCTGCAGAGCAAGCATTTGCTTATAACGTAGGTGATTTAACCAGTCAGGGTGCAAGTAGCACTCGGATCCAGGGGTACTAGCTCCAGGGAGAAAAACAGTTTTTGTAGGTAGTTATTATTTCTTTACTTAGAATATTAATTTTAAAAATTGGTATCTATTTTAATAACTCAGTACCAGCTTATAGGAATTAGATAATTTTTCATTCCAACTAAAGATAGCAATCACAGAAATGTGAAAAAAGGAGGTAAGTACTTTTTATTATTCAATAACCTCCTAACCATTACAGGAGAAGCCAGTTGTCAAATCAGAGTGGAAAATTGTTCTCTTTAAAATGAAGTCAAATGGGTAGAATATAATACTGTGATCTTACTGCCCTAGCCACAACTCTAAAAGCACACCAGGATTGTAATAATGTTGTAGGCTTATTAAGATTGCTACATAAAACAGGAAAAATTGTATTCAGTGTTATCTCCAGTAACAATTTACATCAGCCTTTCCTTTATGGTTTCTAGTTTTGATGTCAAACTTAGGAATTCCTTCCCCATTGCAATATTATTTTACATTTTAACCTTTTATTTATCTGGAATTAATTTTGTTACATGAGGTAAGGATCCAACTTAAGTTTTTTCCCAAATGGTTAGCAAGTTCTCTCAACACCTTTTATTGATTTGAGATGCCACTTTTATTATGTTCTGTATTTCTGGATCTACTCTTGGTCTCCGTATAATCTGTCTCTTGATAGTAGAATCACACTGTTTATATTGATGTAGCTTTCACTATTTTTTATTTTATTTTATTTATTTTTTTAAAGATTTTATTTATTTATTTGAGAGAGAGAATGAGAGAGAGTGAGAGAGCACATGAGACGGGGGAGGGCCAGAGGGAGAAGCAGACTCCCTGCTGAGCAGGGAGCCCGATGCGGGACTCGATCCCTGGACTCCAGGATCATGACCTGAGCCGAAGGCAGTTGCTTAACCAACTGAGCCACCCAGGTGCCCCGTCTTTCACTATTTTTTAAAACTTGGTGAGGTAAATCCTTTTTTTCCAAAAGTGTGGGATATTCCAAAGTTTATTTTTCCAAATGTCTTCAGAGTCCTTTTGTCTGATTCCTTTCAAAAGCCTGTTAACATTTATTGATTGATTTGGTTGGAGAAAACTGACATTTTTACAGTATGTAGTTTTCTAACTCATAAAATGGCATACTTTGACTTGGAAAGAACTGACATTTTTACAGTGTATAGTTTTCTAACTCAAAAAATGGCATACCTTCTTTTATTAATCTTTTTTTTGACTTTCAGTAAAGTTTTGAAGTATATTTTTAAGTGCCATTGTGAGATTATTTTTCCATTATATTTTATAAACTGTTCTATTAATATACAAACAGCTAATTAATTATTGTATACTTAAACCATTCAAGCTTTAACTTTTTTTTTTTTTAGTTTTAACACTTTGTTGATCCTAATGGGGGATTTAAAATATATATAATGTGATCTTTAATGATAACTTTGCTAGATCAGTTTTAATATATTGTCAGTTTGGGATTTAGTTTATATTAAAAGCACGTATTCTAGGGATAGTGCATTGAGTTTGGTTAATTTTTTTATATCACGGTTTTAGAGTACAATGTTGGTGTTTGATGATATCTTCAATCTTTGGTAAACACAGTGAATACAAGTATTTGTGTTTTTTTAAACATCTTCATTTGGTGAAAACATATCTCAGAAATCTGTGAAAAGTATTTTATTTTAGCATAATATTCTGTAGGTGGTTTTATTGCTGTTCTAATTCTTTTGGGTTTTTTGTTTCTGCTTAGAATAGCAGAAAATTATTTTCTCCTGGTTCTGGAGGCTCACATCCAAAATCAAGTTGTTGCTGGGCCGTGCTTTCTCTGAAGGCACTGGGGAAGGCTCTGTTCCAGACCTCTTTCCTTAACTTCTTATAGCCTCAAGCATTCCTGGGGTTGTAGATGGCCGTTTTCTCCCTGTCTCCTTTGGACATGTCTGTGTCAAATTTCCCCTTTTTATAGGGATACCAATCACACTGGAGTAGGGCCCCCTCTAATGACATCATTTTAATTTGATGACCTCTGCAAAGACACTGTCTCCAAATAAGGTCACATTCTGAAGTACTGGGGCTTAGGACTACAACACAGGAACTTAATTCATTTTTGTTTTTATTTTGAAATTCATACTTAGAAAAGATGCAAGAATTGCATAATGAACTCCTATATTCTTACCTAGATTTGTCAGTTTTTTATATTTTTCCACATTTGTGTCATTCTCTCATTCTCTCCCTCATTCCTTCACCTTCCC